ATGAGATAACATTTAAATTAATAGACCTGTTTTAAAGCACATAATCCTCCATGATGTGGGCCTCATCTAATCAGTGGAAAGTCTTAAGAAAAAGGCTGAGGTCCCAAGTGAAAAGGGGAAATACTGCAAGAGACTTCCTTCAAACTCAAGCTGCAACATCAATTCTTCCTGGATCTCCAGCCTGCTGGCCCAACACAGAGATTTTTGGATTGTCAGCTTTGACAATCGCAACAAGCCAATTTCTTAAAACCTCTCTCTTATTTTGTCACATCCTATTTCTGTTTCTCTGGACACCCTGACTAGCACACTATAGCATTAGCACAGATGCTGGGTAGCAGGCAAAAGAAGAAAGGTCTCCAAGGAACCATGAGTGCCCACCAGGTGGATGTGGAGGAACCATGTAGAGAAGAGCAGCAGGACCTCGCCACAGGGTGACACGCAAATTTGTGACATGCTCCATATTTTCTAGACATTGTTTGGCCAACATTGTCTGGACATCTCAATGGCACTTCATGGTGTAGTTTAAAAAAAAATAAAATAAAACATTTTAAATGGAAACAAAGAGAGGAAAGCCTTCTTGACTTCAAGCAGAATCAAGAGCAAATGTTTCTAAGTTAGGATTTACTAGGTGTGAAAACAAAACTGTCAATCCCAATCTTTCCTGGTACACGAATACAAAATCAGAAATGGCATCAAGGTCGTAATGAAGCCCAGGGTGCTGCCAATAAAATGTGCTCCTGGGTGGCTCTAAGACAATGAGTGGTGTGTGCACATGTGTGTAGGTAATATAAATATTACCTACTACATATAAGGAATTCCCATAGGGCCAGATAAAGAAGCAACTCAACAGAAATGACCACAGGTTGAATAGGAATGTACAAGAAAAGTATAAAAGTACAAATGCTACAAGATGCCTAGACTCAAATCAAATCAAAGAACAATCAAAGAACAATCAGATGCTATTTTTCTCATAATTAAAAAGTTGAAAATACTCAGCAATGAAGAGATTTGGGGAAAGCACGCCGTCTGACAGGTGGATGTGGGATTGTAAAATGTACTCCTGTTTTGGAGGGAATTTGGAAATACCTGAAATTTGAAAACAATTACAAATATAAAATCTGCATGAATTTCCCTTTAAACCAAACAAATCTATCACTAGGAATGTGTCTTACAGACACTCCAAACTGTACACAAAGGTAGACTCACGAAGATGCTCACTGGAACATGTTTCTCCCAAGCAGAACAAAGCCTCTGTGATGGCATTCACTCCTGTATCAGCAGTGGCTAGATCACTGCCTACAACACAGTAAATGCTCAACAAATAATTGTTGAGTGAATGAATGAATCAATGGATTTAAAAATTGGAAACTGACTAATTTTCTGTTGAATGGAAATGATTATATCACCATACAGATATGATTCGATGTTAAAAAGAATGAGGTTGACCTATATATATTGACATTAAAAAATCTTTGAGACCAAGGGTTGGGCTGGAATTGTGGCTCAGTGGTAGAGCGCTCGCCTTGCACATGTGAAGCACTGGGTTCGATCCTTAGCATCACATAAAAATATATAAACAAAATAAAGTATCGTGACCATGTATAACTAAAAAAAAAATTTAAAAAGAAGAATGTAACAAAATAGAAACAAAATACATTCTATCATTGAAGGATTGATTTACTGGATTGTAACACAAATACATAACACAAGGCACCCATTTTAAACAGCCTTGGTCTATATTTATTGCTGTGAAAAGGTGCTTGAGATGTTGCATTTCCAAAACAATGACATCCTAAGCACTTATTATAGGACAAGATTATGCCTCTTATTATCTGTCACATTTTATCTATGTGGTGAGTCCCCTCATTCAGATTTTCATTTTTGTAGCTGAGAACACCATGGCACCAATTGGGTAACTTTTCCAAGATCACAGTGTGAGAGAGCCAAGGTTTCAACCCAAGCAGTGTGATTCCAGAGCTTATGTTTTTAATATAACCAAGGACAAGGTGATTCTCCGTTCTGGCTAAAGCTCATGAACTCAGCATGCTTATTAGTTGACATCCCCTTTCCACTTCAAAAGTCTCTAGACAGTAAATCATACATGCACTCTACCAATGGAACCTGTGTGGACAGTACAGGTCAGTGGCCAAGAGTTCAGTCCCTAGAATCTAATTTGGGGCAACTTACCCTGTAAAATGGAGATAAAATAGGAACTACTCCACATAGTTGTAAAGGATTGAACAATTAAATTTTTTAAGTGCCTGGCACACAGTAAGCACCTTATTACTATTAATCCATTTATACAAAATTGTGTTTGTGTGTATGTGAGTTTGTACAGAGGAGATGTTTGGAAGGATGCTTACCAAAATAGTAGCAGGTGAGAATTAAAATTAGAATCCGAATTAAAAGTGTATTTTGATGGCAGCTATCAAGAATACAAACAACAAGAAGTATTGGCGAGGATGTGGGGAAAAGGAACCCTCATACATTGCTGGTGGGACTGAAATCTGTGCAGCCAAATCTGGAAAGCAGTATGGAGATTCCTTGAAAAACTTGGAATGGAACCACCATTTGACCCAGCTATCCCACTCCTTGGTTTATACCCAAAGAACTTAAAAACAGCATACTACGGGGACAATGTTTATAGCAGCACAACTCACAATAGCTAAATTGTGGAATCAACCCAGATGCCCTTCAGTAGATGAATGGATAGGGAAACTTTGGTATATATATAAAATATTACTCAGCATTAAAAGAGAATAAAACCAGGGCCTGGGTTTATGGCTCAGCAGTAGAGCGCTCGCCTAGCATGTGCGAGGCCCTGGGTTTGATCCTCAGCACCACAAAAAATAAATAAACAAAATAAAGGTATTGTGTTCAACTACAATTGAAAAATAAATATTAAAAAAGAGAGAGAGAATAAAATCATGGCATTTGCAGGCAAATGGATGAAGTTGTAGAATATAATGCTAAGTGAAGTAAGCCAATCCTAAAAAACCAAAGCCCAAATGTCTTCTTTGATATGAGAATGCTGATTCATAATGATGATGGGGGAGAGTATGGAAGGAATGGTGGAACTTTAGATAGGGCAAAGGGGAGGGAGGGGAAAGAAGGGGACATGGGGGTAAGAAAGCTAGTGGAATGAGTTAGATATCAATACCCTAAGTACATGTATGAAGATAGAATGGTGTGGAAATACTTTATGTACAATCAATGACTTGAAAAATCATACTCTATATGTGTAATATGAAATGAATTGCATTCTGCCATCATATATAACAAATTAGAATAAATAAATAATTTTTAAATGTGTATTCTGATACTTTCAAACTGGATTATGATTTAAATAAATACTAATTTATTAATATTTAGCTGAATACATATACATATACATATATGGCTATTCTGAACAAATATATATATATATATATATATATATATATATATATATATATATATATCTCACATATTCTGACAACATTACAAGCCATGCAATTTTCATGTGAATCTATCTTGCTACACGGATGTGCTCATCTAAGCAATAGTATGGATTTGCTGAAGATAATTGAACAACCAAAATTCTTTTAACTCTTAAATTAATATGCAATTTGAGGCTGGGGATGTGGCTCAAGCGGTAACGCGCTCGCCTGGCATGCATGGGGCGCTGGGTTCCATCCTCAGCACCACATAAAAAAAATAAAGATGTTGTGTCCACTGAAAACTAAAAAATAAATATTATGCCTCTTATTATCTGTCACATTAAAAAAATTCTCTCTCTCTCTCTCTCTCTCTCTCTCTCTCTCTCTCTAAAAAATAGATGCAATTAAAAATTAGATTACTTTAGGTCAATATTCAGGTTGGATTTACTTGATTTAATTAATGCTGTTAAAGTGCAACCTGAAGGAAAGCCTCAATTTCTAGTTTCTCTTTCAACAAAGCATTTAATTATCTGTAAATAAAGCACCTAACGGGATCTTTGTCTGTACACATGAACAATTTGCGCTTCAAACTTTTGATCTGCTGTGCGCACTCTCACCCTCCTGCACTGAGTTGGGGTCCCCCGGGGGAAGGAGGAATTCTGCCCTCTCCAGTACCCAGAGCAACGCCCCATGCGTGCGTCTCCTTCCACTTTCCATACAACTTTTAAACATTGGTTCTACGGAGGAAAACCAAGCTCTAGAAATAGAAATTTGAAAAGTGCTTCCCTTTAAGAGAGGTTAGCAGCTAGGCACAATGAACCGTCTGAGTGGCATTTCCAAGGGTCTGTACAGATTCCCGAGCTGATGATGCACCTTACTTTATAAGTAATGTCTCCGTTTTTAAAGTTGACAGTTTTTGCTGTGTTTAATGGCCACGTGCATCTCGGGGCGCGAAAGAGTTGAGTGTTGTTTCATATAAAGGAATAAAAGTGCTTTCAGCGGTCTGATCCTTCTGACGCCCTCCTCTTTCGCGGCAGGCTCCATCAACCACTTAACCAGGTGTTGCCGGTACCCAGCCGGGGCACTTACCCGACAAAGGGGCCTGACGGAAACTCGGAGCCAAGATGAAAGTGTCAGCAACTCCCTGCGCCTGCGAGTTAACTCTCGGTCCCTGCAGCAGCGCTGGGACCCAGGGAGGGCGGCAGCCCGGCAAGGGCCGGGGCTCGGGGACCCTAGCCCGGGATGCGGGCCCCTCTGCCAGTTCTCCAGCTGAGAGGGTCAGGCCAAGGAGCCGCGCGCCCTCGCCGGGCACACTGAGCCCGAGGCCAGCGCTCCTGCAGGGGCCCCTGGAGCCGTCAGCCCGGAATCCTCCTGGGCACTGCCCCACGGCTCTCAGCTGATCCGCTACAGAGGATGCTTTGTTTCGAGCAATCTGGACAGCTCCCCCGCGCGCGGTGACCAGCTGTGCCCCGCGGGGAGCCCCACCACGTCGCGCCCGCGCTGTCTCCAGCGGTGCCTCACCGTGTCCCGCCGCGCCCTGCAGCGCGCGGTGTCCCGCGGTGCTCTCAGATGCCAACTCACCTCAGCTCCGGCCGGATGAGTTGAGTGTAAGTGAAGCATCGTCCCAGGACGATCTCGGAAAAGTGGCTGGTGGTGCCACGCCCGTGCCACTCCAAGAGCTCAGGTGGCGAGCGCACCTTCAGGACCACGACCGCGACCACCACCGCGAGGCTCACCACCAGCAGCCCGACGCCGAAACCAACCAGGGCTTTCTTAGAGATCTGGCAGCAGGGTTCCTCCCCTGACCTCACGGGGCTGAATTCGTAGCTGGACATTGGGCTGAATGCAGGCGGCTGAGCTAAGCTGAAGGAGAGGCCAGCTGGAGGCTGGGCAGGAAGAGAGGAGAATGTGGCCGGTCTGAGACTGCACCTCCCCCTGTGCTTTCACTTGTCTCTTCTCGGCTTCCTTTTCCACCCCAATCCCCTGCTTCAAAGTTCCGCGGGTGGGTGGCTGGACCAATAAGATGTCAACCACTTTAGCCTCTGGCTTCCAGACTCCTGAGCTGTTGAACCAGACTCTAAATCTCCGAAGAGGAACATCGCTGACACGGTTACCCTCTGCAGATGCCTGAATAACAGAGTGTGGCCTTACACTCCTTGACCAGCACCTTCTATCAACCTTTCCCTTCACACTTGAGCTGTGTATACTTCCTGAAGTGTGAAGGCACCACATAGAATAAATAAAGGTATTGTCTCTACACATGAAGGGTTTTTATGGACTGTTCTGTGTTCACACAATGCCTTCTCCCTGGGAGTGATTACCCTACCTCTACTTCTTATCTCCAACAAATACCTGCTCCGTCACCTTTAAAGGCCCAACAGAGTCTGTGCCTTTTCTCAAGCAATCTCAGTGACTAAGCTTTAGTTTCCCAACCAGCCTTAGTTGAGTAACTGGGGCAAATTACTTACCCTGTAAGTAACTTTTTGGATGTAAAACGGTGATAATAGGAGTATTTACTTCACAGAGTTGTTATGAGTATTAAGCAAGTTAGTATTTCCTGTGTGTTTAGCACCATGCCTGGCACATGGGAAGTAGTCAGTAATTGCAGGCTATGATCCCCCTGCTCCATGAGGCTGCCAAGGAGATGCAATTTCATAGTCCATGGCTTGTGCTTGGGTTGGTATCTGACTCCATTCCAAGTCTAAAAGTAATCGACTGACCTTACCTGCTGCTTCTTCCTCAGTTGTATATCTGTGCCCTTAAACACAGACTCATGTGAAGGACTGTGCCCCAGAATTTCCATGGGGCAAATGCTTTCTAGGCAGAGAGAATGACCGATGCAAAGGCTCTGAGGCAGAAAGACCCTTGACCTGTTCCAGGAGCAGCAAGGATGGTCATTGTAGCTAGACTAGAGGGTGAGGGAAAGAAAATAGGAGAGAAGTTCAGAGGGTAGCGGGGAGCCGGGTCATCTGTGGTTCTGTAGGACAGGGTAAAGGATTCTATGAACTGGGCATTTTACTTTTAATCCATTAGTGGTCACTGAGTGACTTTATCTGGTAGGATCTTTTAAAGGTGCAATCTAGCTTTGGTACTGAGAATACATTGAAAAGGAGGGAAGGGATGAGAAATATGGAGACCAATTATGATAACTTTGACCATGAGAGAAGTAACAGAGGGGCAAAGGAAAAAAAAAAATTAGAGTGTGACTAGTGTGACTAGAGGTTGAAGGCAAGAGGATTTGCTGATGGACTGACTATGGCATCTGCCAGAAGGAGAGGAGTCAAGGATGCCTCTGGGATTTTTAGTCCGAGTAACTGACCAGAGGAGGGACAGTGTTGCTCTGTCTAGTGATAGGGAAACTGGGGTGAAGTAGATTCGGCTTTGGGAAGAAGGCACGGATGGAGAATTTCGTTTAGATGTATTAAGTTGGAGATGTCCCCAAGAGGAGACGTCAAGTAGCCAATTGGGTTTGATCACCTGGAGTTCCTGGGAGGGATCTGTGCTGCAGTCATCAATACGGGAGGCTTACAGACTGTCCTTAAACCTGGGAGGACAAACAAGCTCATGCAGAGCACGTGTAGAAACAGCAGAGTTTCAGGATCTCAACCACGGGGTGGTCCCATAGTAAATGTAAGGGAGACGAAGGAGTCCCAGCCAAGAGAGCTGGGAAGGTGACCCCTGAGACCATGCAAAGGTGACTTGGAAGTTCTCGGTGGTATGGACAAAAGAAAGCTCACAGGCAGCAAGAGGAATCCCAGGCACAGGCGAGGTGGGAGTGCCAACCCCACAGGGGAAAGTGGAGAACATGGTGTGGTGTGAGGGTCAGTAGATCAATGGATTTGGTGAAGATGCCATGAAGATCTTCTCTTCTGGTTGCTTCTCAGTGAAATGGAAAGGGCCCCAGGAGGAGGGGCTGGTGGAGTTAGAAGGAGACAGAGAAGTGGTGTACTGGAGAAATGGGGTGCCCTGAATGGTCAGGAACTTAAGGAAAGGCCAGTAAACAAGCTTGGGTTCTTTTGCCTAACCATTGTCCACTCTTCAGGGTCAAAGTAGCCAGAGGGTTGGATTTGACGGTGTGGGGTTTGTTGGGTATGGGAGACTTTTAGGCCTGTCACACTGGGTGGCTTAGCAGAAATTCATTGCCTCACAGGTCTGCAGGCTGCGTGTCCAAGATCAGGTATCAGCAGGCTGGTTCTTTCTGAGGCCTCTCCTCTTGGCTTGCAGGTGGCCCACTTCTCCGGTGCCTTCAGGTGGTCTAGCCTGTACAACTGTCTGTATCCAAATTTCCTCTTCTTAGAAGGACCCCAATCCTTGGATTTGGGCCCACCTAGATGATCTCATTTTAACTTAGTTTTCTCTTTAAAGATAACTGCTCTGTCTCCAAAAATAGTCATTTTCTGAGGCCATGGCAATTAAGACTTCAATATCAGAATTTTGGGAGGACCTCATTCAGCCCCTAACACTGGCTAAGCACAGTGAAGTCAAGGAAAGACAAGAGTTTGAAAGTTTGAGCGAGGATAGGATTTTAATAATGGCCTGTGGCATCCCAGTGAGGCCAACAGGACGGTGGGAACCGTGAGTGACAGGAGGTCCCGGCAGGGCCAAACGGTTCACAGAGAAGAAGGTCATTTGTACTCAAGTGGGTTCATAGATGCTTCAGGCTCACTCCATCCCAAACTGCATGATGATCCTCCTCCAGACCAACTCCTTTTCTGACCTGTGGCATTTCAGTAAGACCCAACATCTCCCCCATTGCTCAAGCTAGAAACTTCCTTTTCCACACATGCCCAGGAGGTTGGTTCCTTCTGCCTCCAAAGTATCCATTAGATGTCCGTTTTCCCCATCTCCACTAACTTAATCCACCCTCTTTCTTACCTAGGAGGGCCTTCCTGGCCACTCACCCAGTCCACTCTCCACCTATTCCATTTGTTCTCTGCCCCACAGCCAGGGTGGTGGTTTTCTTGCTAGCTGCCCCCTTTTTAAGATGTAACTTTTCCAGCCTGACTCTGAGTCCCTCACTTCTCTCCCTGCTCTGGACACAGCCTGTGGACCCCTGTGGGCTTCTCTCGCCTCCACAGGCACCTCTGGCCCTGCTTTCCATGAGGTCCAGTCCTGCTGGTCTTCTCTCTGTCCTCAACCAGAGGGTCTTCTAAATATAGAATCTGTCTTTGGCCAACACCGAGGCCATGTCCTCACCCTGCTATTGCTACTGATCCTTTAGGCTCAACTGCAACGTGACTTCCTCTGGAGGCCTTTCCAAACTGGGTGAGCTCTCCAAGTTGTGCATGCTCCTAGATGACTAACACAGATGCCTGTGATCTCCAGGAAAGACATGCATCTCTGGTCTGGAGACCAGAAATGGGAGGGCCTCCTCCCCTCAGGAAGGTGAGGACAGGGACATCGCCTGCCCTGGCTTACCAGCAATACCAAGCTCATTGTGTTCCCAGCACCAAGACAATGCCCCCACGTAGGTGGCACTTGGGCAGTGCAACTCCCTTCCCACTCAACTTAGAGAGACTCCCTCTATGGATTTCTTCCAGAAGTCCCCTCTACACAAGACCAGGAATTTGCTCAGGGCTGGCTTGGCAACAACTGAAGACTTTTCTCTTAGTATCCTGGAACTCAAGTTGAAGTCCATAAATACTGGTTGAATAACTTAGCAAATGACTGACCACAGTTTTGCAGTTGGCATCCACTCCTCCATCCTTTTTGAAAAGTGGAGAACTGTACTCAGATCTGCTCCCAAGGCCAGCTCAGAACTACAAATGTGGATGGAATGAGAAACATTAGTTCATCCCAGCTTCGTCTCCTTGGCCCCTGCCACAGCTGTGCTGCCTTCTTCCTTTCACCCCTTGTCTCTGTGCTTTCTTTCATGGTGCCTGTAGTGAAAGGTTCAAAACCAGCTACCACACAAGCCTTGCCAGAGGCCTGTCACCCACAACAGCCCTTTAAAAAGGGTATTTGTTTTGACAATAAATATGATAAATAAACACAGAGTAGAAGTCAAATAGACCAAAGTGGTAGATGTAGAAAATGTTTCTCACTCCTTGCCTGGAGCACTGTTTCGTAAGGTCATGGCGTAGGGCATCTCCTATTGGGCATTGGACTTTGTTCACATTATGACATATGTTACAAGCATTCCAAATCAGCAAATATTGCTATACCAATTTTTTAAAAAAATGATTTCTAGTATTCCAAAGTGCAGTAGAGTTGACACTGGTGAGTTTACTTAGCCAGGTCCACATTGGTGGACACTTAGGTATTACTACATTAAATGCTACAATAACATATGAATACACGTCCAGTTAAACTCCACATCATGCACAAGAATTGGATCCTAATAAGTTATACTCCATGTATGTATAATATGGTTAAAATACACTCAACTGTCAAGCATGCCTAAAAAGAACAAATAAAAAAGTGAAAAAAATGCTACAATAAATATTCTTGTGTCAGCATATTTTTTCACATGTCCAATACATATAATCCCCTAAAAGTAAATTTCCTAGGTCAAAGGTATCGACACTTGCAGTTTTGAAAGACCTGCCAGCCAAAAAGGTGTACACCCATTGACACGTGGATTAGGAGTGCCTGGGAACGTGGGCTTCCCAACATTCACACAAGTAGGATTTGGGATTTGCTTTATCTTCACTTCTGGCTATTAATCAGCAGTGACTTGAGGGAACTTCAGCTTTTAGTTCCTCTTTCTCTTAATGTAAGGGACACTTGAGAAAACGAATTCTAAAAGGACCCTGTGACCCTTTCCTTCTGCTAGGGCTCTTGGTTTGAAATATATGTATTTTTCTTCCTGCACATAAGCTGCTCAGTTACAAGTGTCCAACATTCTGAGACAAGCTTGTACAATTCTGAAATTGCACAAAAATTACACCCCCATTCTTACCACACCAGACAGCTGTGGTATGATTGGCGGCAAGTTAGCCACATTTTT